AATTGAAGGGACTCAATCATCACCTACTCTAGCCTCTTACTTTTACACAGGCCACTCTTCTTTAGCCAGCCTCCTTGCTTGCTTCCTTCCTTCCTTCCTTCCTTCCTTCCAGCTAATAAGTGGTATTGCCAACAATTGGGTGCTGCATCTAGAGATACAACAGTGAGTAGAACAGCGCTTTTGTCTTCATTGAGCTCACAGCCTACTTGTGGACATAAATAAGGAAGCAATTTTAATAGTGTATGAAAAATGCAGATTAGGGGAATTAACTTTGTTTGAGGGGCTGGAGGAGGAGTCCTGAAGGAGGCACGAGTGTGCTGATATCTAAAGGTTCGAGTAGAACTTGAATAGTTGAAAAGTTGGAGTGCAAAGGGGGCTTCAGGAAGAGGAGGTAGATAGGCAAAGATGGGGAAGATTAAAAGGATATCCTGGCACTGGGTAACAGCATTAGTGATTTGACAGTACCAGGGCTTGGCTGAGGGATGGTAGAAGATCACATGGATCATCCCTTGGAGGGCCTCATGTGTTAGAGAGTTTGGGCTTTATTTGTGGGGCAGTGAGGAGCCATTGAAGGGTTCTAAGGAAGGAAGTCATACAGTTAGATCTGCATGTTGGGAAGGTCACCTTTGGCTGCAGCATGGAGACCACATAGAAGGAGGAGAAAATGTGGAGTCAAGGAGGCTGTGGCTGTTAGTCAGCAGCCCCTTTTGTGCTGAGGACTACACTTGTGTGAAATTCACAACAAAGCTCCCCTGCTGAACACTGACCCATGTCAGGCTTGGCAAACCCAGAGTTAAGGACCCCATTAATTCTTGGACAGAGCTTCAGAAGTCAGGAAAGGTGTTAGGATTAGGGTTGTCAGATGACCTCCAGGGTCTCTAGCTCTCCTCTCTTACTTCCTCTCCAGGGTTCTGTCACAGAAGGCACAGCTATTGCTCTATGAGTACTGGCTCCTTCTGAATCTGCCCAGCCATGACCAGAAGGCAGCTCAGGTCAAAGGCAAGGGTGGGGGTCCTCTCTAGCACCCTTGTGCTCAGGCCCATCTCATACTTCGTTGTCTGTGTTGCTAAGGTGGAGTCCATTTCTGCAATATGAAATTTCTTAAAAAAAAAAAAAAAAGAAAACAAAACAACCCTTCCCTTTCTACCCCAAAAGCTTCCTATCCTAATCCTTGTTTACGATTTGCTTATTTTTCAAATCCTGCTATTTGAACCTTGCACAGCCTTGCCCTTTGAAGAAAAAGTTCCCAACATATTTCATAAAAATGTCATAACAATTTGTGAACATGAGAAAACTGTTGAGTACTTTTTAAAAAAGATACAGAATTTTATATTCTCTCCAGTCTTTTAAATTTAAATTTTAAGAATTCAGTCATCTTTGGAGTATTAAAGGATTATTTTTTTCCTGCAGAGAGTCCTTTTAAAAAGCAAAAACTTATTGTTTAAAACTCAAAGAACCATTCTGATATTTTGTATTTGGTTTTAAAATATCTTTTTATTCTGTTTACACTCAATGAAAATGTATTGGCAAATGCAGAAAAACATGAAGAGGAGAAGTAAAATTATTAGTCACCTCATTGCCAAATAAAACATTTTGGTGGATTATACACACACACACACACACACACACACACATAGTTGTTGTATGCAATAACTTCTTCTTTTTATAAAATCAGTGCCATACTATTTTACATTCTGCTTTTTAAAGATTCTACCCTTTTTATTTAGTTGGCAATGCTATGCAAACAGGACTTCAGATACTTGCATAATAGGCCATGGTTTAAATATTCCAATATCTCATTATTGGATATACACCCAGAGGAATATAAAACATTCTACCATAAATACACTATGTAAATGTTTGTTGCAGCACTGTTCACAATAGCAAAACCATGGAACCAATCTAAATGCCCATCAGTGACAGACTGGATAAAGAAAATATGGTACATATAGACCATGGAACATTACGTAGCCATAAAAAAAGAATGAGATCATGTCTTTTACTGGGAACATGGATGGAGCTGGAGGCTATTATCCTTATCAAGCTAATGCAGGAACAGAAAACCAAATACCACATGTTCTCACTCATAAGTGAGCTAAATGATAAGAGCTTATGAACACAAAGAGGGAAACAACAGATATCGGGTCCACTTGAGTGGGGAGAGTGGGAGAAGGGGGAGGAGCAGAGAAGATAACTATTAAGTACTGGGCTTAATACCTAGGCAATGTAATGTTATGTACAACCAACCCCTGTGCCACGTGTTTGTTTATGTAAGAAACCTTCACATGTACTCCCAAACCTAAAATAAAATAAATATTTAGATCCCATTAAAAAAATAAACATACCAATAATCTGTATTGGTAACTTGGTACAATTTAGTGTTAAGTAGGCATTTGTGTTATTTATTAAAGTATTATTTACTAATGTGTATAATGTTTATATATATATAAATATAAATGAAAAGTGGCTCATAATTTTACCGGTTGGATAACCCTGATTGACATTTAAAAATAATAAAACCCACATGGTTAGAAAATTCAAGCAGAAAGCTATACAAATGTACAGAGATGAAAACCAGAAGCTCCCTCTTCCTTCTGCCCCCTAGACCTTACCCCACAAAGGTTAAAATTTCTTGTAATTTTTTTCCCAGATATATTTATCTATTTATAGATGTTTCAAAAATTATGCAAGAGACTATATGCTGCACACTGTTCTGCACCTTATTTTTTTCTCTTAAGAGTCATTCTTGGTGATCTTTGTGCAGCATTTCTTATAGTGGTGCATCCCTAGCTCAATAAACATATCTTTAATTCCAGCCCTGTTGAGTCAGTCATGCTTGCAGTATCATTGGCTCTTCTGCTTGGTTCTTAGATGTGAGGTAAATAGATACAGCACCCCCATGTCCTCAGTCTCACCATCCCATATTTCTCCAGTTCTTAATCACTAACTGCGTGCCAGTAGGACCTGGACCCTCAGTCTCCACCATCCCTGTTGCTCCAGCTCTTAAGCCCTGCGTGCATGCCAGTAGGACCCTGACCCTCAATCTACACCATCAATATTTCTCCAGCCCTTTACAGCTACCTGCATGCCAGTGGAATCCAGACCCTCAGACATCCCAGTCTTTCTGGTTATATGAGGAGGCCCCGGGGATTGTGACATAAGTGCACAGCAACTTTTCCTTTGGCTTCTATTTCCAGTACCCAGAGTCCTTTAAAATTGCTACCTACTGCTACCCCAAGGCAGATGTCCTTCTCTTATGCCCAGGGCACTGTCTCCGAGGGTAGGCCAGTGGGTGTAATCAGTTTGCTCAGAACCACTGTGGATCTGCATACACATGTACACAAATATATGCATGGATGTATTCAAAGTAGTAACATACAGTTTTTCCAAGAGCAGTCCTTTCAGCTGATGGCTTCTTCAGCTTAAGCAGTATCATTCTGACATATAACCATCCATATTCTTACTCATGTGTATTTTTGTGTGAACATTTGTCTGGAAGGGAGGAAGCCTGTGTTTTGACTGGAGATGATTATACCTTCTGAATTGCTGTGTTTTCCAGTGGAGTGGCAATGAATCTTCACAGTGGCAGCTGGATGGGATCACATTAAATTTTGATGAAGGAAAAGATTAATTATTTGACCTATAACCTGAGTTTCTAAGATGTCTATCTCAAGGCAGAAGAAGAAAAGATGAATGAAGGAAAGATAGAATGAAGGGTGGAGGGAGACTGGAAGGAAGGGTGGAAGGAAAGAAGGAAAAAATCCACCTTTGTTATGCCACAGAGTTTACGGGTTTCCACTGTGGCCATTGAAAAAATTAGCCAAGACAGTGCTTTCCAGATTGAAGTTCAGCAGAGCCATTGTCTTTGCATCCAGAGCTATTTTTGAGGCTGCTACTGCTGCCACCTCTGTTGTCATTGTAATCATCTCCTCCCCTTTACTACTGGGATTACTGTTATTAGTTGGATTGCCATTCCAGATACACACTAAGGGAATCAAGTAATCAAAAAATTTGTTTGAGTGTACATTGTGAAACATGCATTTGGAATGACTCCCTGAGAAAGCTGGGTGCAGAATGCAAATATTTTGAATGGACTTATCTTAGAGTTGTACTGCTTTTTTTCCTTGTCATTTTAAAACCCTTATTATGAATAAACTTGTTTGTATAGTGGGTTTTTTAAATACTTAGATAAGAAATACGTGGTTGAAAGCAGAGAATAAAAACATGAATGATAATGTCCTCGATGCCCAGGAGAAAGTCCTTGCTGCTGCTCCTGGACAGGCATTATAATTGGCTATTTGGTGTGTTTATTTCAGGCTGCAGATAGCAGATAAAAGTGGCTGGTTTGTTGCCAGCATATGACTTAGTTGCCAAATGGAGTGTTTAGTACTTGTTACATTTGACTTATATCACAACTTCTTCCCATTAACAGTCTGCTGGTGATAACCTACTTGGCTTTTCATGTGGTTACTTTGAAACAGCCACTTGACAACATTTGGCATATCACAAACTTTACTACTGAAATAAAGGAGTGAGTGAATGACTACATGGGATCTGCCATATACTGATACGGTGCTTGGTGCAGAATGGCCCCCCCATAAATGTCTGTTTAATCAGTGAATTAATCTTGCATAATATCTCTCTGGCTCAATGTACCAAAGTTAGGTCTATCAACTTGAGACTTAAAAGGCTTGTAAAAGGGATAACAATACATAGAAATAATAGTGCTTACATTTGTGTCAGAAGTCTTACCTTTGTATGGAGGGAGATACTCTGCTCCTCTCTTTCACCATTTAAATACAGAGTTGAACTACATGAAGAAATGAAGCTTTCATCAAAATGGCCTTGAGTCTAAATCAAAATGTAACCTCTTAATACTGACAATTTCTATCATTTCAGGTTCCTTTTGTTTTGTTTTGTTTTTTGACAGATCCACTTCAGGAATTTTGGCCCAGGATATGTAATCAAATATGCATTAAAGTATTTATTTTTATTTTTAGATTGAAAACTTGCAAGAACAACTTAGGGATAAAGACAAGCAACTGACCAACCTGAAAGACAGAGTGAAGTCCTTGCAAACAGATTCCAGTAATACAGACACTGCACTGGCAACGCTAGAGGAAGCTCTGTCAGAGAAGGTGAGTGTGCACTCCAAAACAGGGAATCAGGATATGGGGAAACACAGTTGGGGAAAGTTGATCCAAATGCATTGAAATATGCCGATTTTCGTCTTTTTCTAACACTACCTTTTGTCTCTGGTGCTTGTCCTTCCCATCCAAGCCCTCTTCAGTGGACTTGGCACACTGTAGCCAGGGGCATTTTCTGAAATGCAAATCTGATTACATCACCTTTGGCTCTCCATAAAAACCTTCACTAGCTTGCCATTGCACTTAGGATGACACAAACTGAAATCCTCTCCCTGGCCCCCAGGGTCCCTTTTCCTGTCTGGTCTGACAAGCCCCCACTCTGCGTGACTGCTCCCTTCCTTATTCTTTCTTTCCATTTCCAGCCTCATCCCCCATCTCTCTTTTTCCAGGTTCTCTGTGCCTTAGCCATGAGGGGCTTCCAGATTTCCAAGCATACTGTACTCCTTCTTGCCTCAGACTCTTTGCAGATGCTGTTCCCCAACTGAGAATATTCCTTACTCTCTGCAAATTTAATTTCTCTTCTCCTCAGAGGTCAGCTTCATGAGAAGTTGTACTCTGCAGTTTTTTATTATTTTTTTCTGGACCCTATTAAAATTTGATTTATTCTAGCTTAAATCCCAAAATAATTCCCAAATCTGAAACTACTCCCTTTATTTGATTACTTTCTTTGAGGCTGAGGGGGTGTCTGAGAAGGAAAACTGAGGTCTGTGGGAGTCTGGCCACCTTGGACTGTCTTAACTGCTTGATAGTTGCATCACTTGGGCAAGGCTCTTCTCTCAGGGACTCAATACCTCATCTTCAAAATGCACATTTATATTAGCTGACCTCTAAGTTTCATGCTGTCCTAAACGCTCTTGACAAAGAATTATTCAATTTGCCAATCTGCAATCTCAGGCTTATGGTATCTGAATTGGATATTAGATGAAGAATTGAGAACTTAGATGATTAGAAGGGCCAGGCAGGGAATGGAAATGAGGGATGAGGCTTTGCTGAAATGTAGGAGGGATTGCTGGTGACTATGGTAAGCTGCAGGTCATTGTTCTGTTTCAAAACATTCAAATTCAGATTTTTAAAAATTATGATGCTCAAGTCAGACAAAAGAGCTCTATAAACCAGCTTTGTGAGCTATTTATTTCAAACTCTGTTTGCATCTGATTTTTAACTTTTTACAGCAATGAAGAATAAAAGGAAACATAGAACCATAGATTTGGTGGGAATCTTTTAAAGGTGCCAAAATTAGAATGCTAGTGTATTTGAAAAGCACAGATAAAACAGTTGATAGGAACTGGCAAGGTTCTCTATCATAGAACAAAGAATAGAAGATTTATTTTAAGTATTCCAGTATGCATCAAACCTTTGGGTGTATCCAAATAATATTATCTAGTAAGCTACTTAAAATGCAGTTTCCTGGGCCCTATTTCTTAGAGATTGTGATTCAGCTGTTCTGCTGTGGAGCCCAGGAACCTAAGATGTTTAAACATACTGAAGGGTTCTGATCCAAGTGGTCAGAAGGCCACAATTTGAGAAACACTGAATATATGCTCTTCCATTTTAAGATGGGAAATGGATTCAATGAGAAAAATAACTTGCCCAGAAATAAAAATGTTGACACATTCAGCATCATTCCCTATTTCTGGGCCTAGAGAGCCATTGTTAATTACTTATGGCACATGCTAACTTCTCAACCCACTACTCCTGGAAGCCATTTTCACCCTGTCTAAGCTGGTCCTTGGTTGAGACTTTGCTGCCTCCTCTGGACTATCCCAAGGCCACCTAGCTCACAGGTGATAGAATAAGACTAAAACTCTTTTGAGGTCTTTTTGATGTTGGCAATATCACAATCTTTTTTAAATGGAATTTTCCTCACAGATTTACTTTTTATCCACATTTAATTGCACAGATTCCCCCTGTAACAAGGCATGCTGTGAAACAACAAAATGATTAATAAAAACTCATGGATTTTTAATTACATTTAATTATTTGCTGTCTTTTGGCTGATGAAAATAATCCATCAGGCAGTATTCACCATTGCCCCTGGATTATGGCATCCTAGGGAGTATGTTATTCCTTTTAATTTCCAGGAACTTATTCAACTATTAAGAGTGTGCAAAGAATAATGCCTCTCCATGAGTTAAGAATGAATATTCTAGGATTGACACACAGAAGCTCAAGAGACGGAACCCACTGTATTTATAAAGCTGGTCTTGCCAAGCCTTGCTGTAGCCATGTAGCAGACAAGTAGTTGAGAAAGCCAGATAGTGGAGCTGGAGGCCACTGCAATTTAGTTCCCACCCTGTGATAAAGCACAAATAGATTAGACCTGTGCAGAGCCAGATGAGTGCATAAGGAATGCTTGCCAATGCAAATAAGACTAAAACAAGAACATATTGTTGGAATTTCTGCAAGTTAGTTGTTAATCAAGTAGATCATGGCATATTAGGGACTTTTAACACATGTTTTTGACATCTGGCCCTGCGCGGCTGACAGTTAAATTAGTTTTGTGATTGACGGAGAAATATTTTGTAGTATTGAATCATCAATAACACTTAAAAACATTATAGTGCTTGTTGATTTTCTTTGTCATCAATGCCCAGTCAATAGTACAAGCGCTTAGAGCAAATCGACCTGCTTTCCAAAGGATTCTGACACCTTCTGGCTGTTAACATGCCTGCTTAATTTTATTACCTTTTCTCTGAAGCCAAGATGATCCCTAATTTGAGTTCTTCTTCCCTCCTTCAGCTCTTTTAATTACTTGTTTTATGCTGGATGATTTGCCCTGCTGTGGGTCAAAAAGACGCATAGGATTTTAGTGCTGCCCTCTGGAAAGCGGGGCCGGGAGGATGATCATGCAGTGAATCCATGTGAAGTCTGCTGACTGGGAATAAATGACACGTGCTCCAGCCAGAGGGTTTCCTGGGGAGGTTTCCAAATAGTGAGATGACAGGTTGTTTTGGAGCTTTAGAAATGTCACTCCAACAGCCATGTAGTGAAAGTGATGGGACTGAGAGGTGGCCTGGTAATCACTTGTAGAGTAGGCAAAAGGCAAGAAGGGCTTAGTTGCTGAAATCATTAAAAACCCTTGAGAGATTGAGCGTGTACTGTGGTCATTTCCTTCTCTTGTAGATCACGTAATCATCTATTCACCATTGTCACAGGTAGGTAAACTAGGTCTGGGATCAAGAAGAAACAAATACAGGCAATTAATAGATTCATTTGTTATATTTCTGCCTTCACTGTTCTAATAATATATTTCATTTAAAATGTTTTAAAATAATTGGAAAACAGTAATGATATGCTCCCCCTCCAGCCCCAAAGCATTAGATACATACATTTATTGTCAGTGGGTTAGAATGTTTGCTTCCTCAGGGGATCTGAAGTCACAGGCTAAGTGTTCAGACTAACTTCCCTATGCCATAAATACTATTTTACAGTTGTCTTATTTATCAGGCATTATCTCATACTCTGCAATCATAAGAATATAAAAGACAGTGTCAGGATCCTTGGGCACAGTTGTTGCACCAGTATTTTTTTAACATGGCCATCTGAAAGGAAGTTCAGATATGTGTTGGATAATTTCAAACTAATTTCAGAAATCTAACTCAAGCTTTACACAGATGGAATTTTCTTGTGTGTGTGTGTGTGTGTGTGTGTGTGTGTGTGTATGTGTGTGTAACTATCTTACTTTGATATCAGGCAGGTTCCCTATTTTTGGAAAACATGTCTAGAAAGCAGTGTTTTCATTTCAGTGTGAAAATCAAAGGCAGACCTCCTCGAATGGCTCCAGGTGTATGTTTGTGGCAGTGTGGTCTCTGACAGGTGGCTGACTGTCAGAGAACCCAGGATGTGGGAAGCCTTCTGTTTATGACCTCGGCCACCTTACGTCTTGGAGCTCTGGGTTTCCTCACGTCTACACTGTCATCAAGAGCACTGGTTCTGCCCTTGCGCTTGTGATGAGGACTTAAGAGGAGAGCACATCATAGCTCCTTTGCGTGTAGTAAGCCCTCAGTAAAAGAAAGCTGCTGCTGAACTTGGTTCACACTCACCCAGTGTTTTGGAGTCTCTACTGACTATCAAGATACCTTTGAAAAAACGGAAAAGTCAACATCCTCAGACACACCGAAAAATCACATACACACTGGACTGATCCTTTATTTTGTCTCAAGCTCTCACAATGAGTCCAGCTCTAAGACCTGGGGGGTTTGGGTCCTGCCCCGCTTCAATCTGATCTAGCCAGAGAACAGCCTTCGGAAACCAGTGAAGGCCCTTTGATGCCAAATGGAGAGGCTAAGCAAAGAGGGCCGAGCCAAGAGACATGTTCTGCTTCTTCCCCTTTCCTGTACGAGGCTATGGCAGGTCTGGAGTCTCGGTGTCTGAAGCTCCCTCTTCTAGAACTGCTCTAGAAATTTGCTGGATACTACCATGAACCAAGAGCAGCCACAGAACTTGAACATTAATATCCTTTGCAACCGTGTGATGTTAACTTTTATTAACAGTCGGAAGCTGTATTGGTTGTCTTTCCCATGTGCTGTTATGCACAGCCTCTCCCCACGAATCCAATTTTGAGTTTCTTGTGTGCGTTGATTCCCATAGAGCATTCCTTAGATGTACTGCCTCTTATTTTCTTTTGCAGTATGCTTTGGCATATACACTGATGGGTTCTTACCTCTTCTTTATTGTTAATTGCCTTTCAGGAGAGAATAATTGAGCGCTTGAAAGAACAGCGAGAAAGAGATGATCGGGAAAGACTAGAAGAGATAGAATCCTTCCGAAAAGAGAACAAAGACCTGAAAGAGAAGGTCAATGCTTTACAAGCTGAACTGACTGAAAAAGAGGTGAGTCTGGAGAAACAAATGAACCTCACCGATAGTCCTCATAAACTCATATTCAGTGTAGCCGCAAGAGACTAGAGACTTACTTGGAGGCACTGTTTGAAGGCTTGGGGAATGTGGTAACTTTTCTTTTGTAAAGATGCCTGAATTTAAAGGAAAAAAAAATTTTGTAACTTCCTTCTTCTGTAACCATGTCTATCTTCTCTGTTTTGCTAACCATATACAATGTAGCTCCTTGAAACTTTTCTTTATGTCTTACCATATTTGCATGGATTAGAGGATTCTATATTTTTTTGCAGTCCCATGATCCTTTGCTTGAGATAGCAGCAGCGTTGATGATGATAATAATAGCTCTACTTTATTGGTATCTACTATGTGCTGTTCCTTGTGTTGAGTGCTTTACATTCATCTGTAATACCCTCAGGTTAGGAGATGTGGTACCATGCTGGGCCCCAAGGTAGAGTTTAAATGTGGCTGTTCTTCTGGCCTATTATTTTTACATTCTAGTAAATAATTTAGAGCTGTGTTTTTATACCACAGAAAACATGAATAAAAGTATAAATGCCACCTGCATTTTTAAAGTAAATTTTATACTTTAAAGAAATTCTTGCTTGGGGGTTACGAACAGGATGCCATTGGGCTATTCTGCCATTCTTCAAGGGATCCCTGTAACCCTCTCAGTTTTCTTGGGGATAGTTTGGTGGAGAAGCATGAGAGACAGTAATTACACGTGGTTTTATTTAATCCACATAACTCCAAGATGTGTGGAGATTGCCTGCAATTGGCCCCTTCACACTTTGTCTGCTGTAACTGTCCATCTTCTTTAGAGCTGTCAGGCCTTTCACCTCCTGGATGGTACCACAGCACAGTTGTCTGTCTCCTAGCTCCACAGTATTTTCTCACTCTCAGGGTACTGATAATTCCACCCAAATTAAAATCTCGAATAAATTAGGAATCTAGATAAAGAAGGAAAAGAATTGATGAGTAAGAGGAGTTTCGAAGAAACCCAGAAACAAAATCCCTATTTCCTAAAATTTGAATCTACTTTTTTTTAGAAAGGAGCTTATTTCTTTGTTATGAAAATAAAGAATGAAGTTGTCTTCCTACTCTTCCACTGCTGATTCTGAGTTGGAGGATCTGTGATGACTGTAGTTTGTATTGACAGAAAACATAGAAGCTCTGACTTTGTAGCATTCTTCACTGGTTGGAAGTGTTACTTGTCAGTTTGTATCTTAAAATCAATGTATATATTTTGAATGAAAAGAGATCTTGATGATGTGGGGGAGTATAAGCTATAAAAGAAAGTCATTTTGTAAATAATCCCCAAATTATGTGACTTTCAAATAAGCATTTTGGTAAACCTTTATTGTTTCTGCATAACGTGCTTCACACCGGGCTGGATGTGTCAGTCAGGGTTCTGCCAGAAAAACAGAACCACGTTAAACATTTTCAACAGATTAAGAACCTTATCATGAGGAATTGGCTGACACGGTTATGGAGGCTAGGCAAGTTCAAAATCCACAGAACAGGTCATCAGCAAGAGCAGACTGGAGAGTCTCAGGCAGAAGCTGACACCGCAGCCAGTAGGTGGAATTTGTTCTTCCTCAAGGAAACCTGAGTCCTGCTCATAGGCCTTTCAGTTGATGGGATCAGGCCCACCCAGAGTACTGAGGGTGATCTCCTTCACTTAAAGTCAACTGATGGTAGATGTTACTCATGTTTACAAAATGCCTTCTATTAGCAACTTCTAAATTAATAATTGGGGACTAGAGCCTAGTCAAGTTGACGAAAACTGGCTATTGCATCTGGCAGCTTAAAATTTATAAAGAAAAACAATCTGCAGTTGCCATCAGCTTATAATTTAATTGGGAGCTTATAATTTAATTGGAGCGATGATACCTCTTCACCACGACAAAATGACTGAATTATGTCCTTTGTTATTTCTGTGGGAATGATACGACAAAGGACCTTGAAATTGGAATTGTAGACCTGGGTTTGAGACGTGTATCTGCCTTTACCAGCTAAGTGACATTTGACAAGATGCTCAGCTGTTGTGAGCCTCAGTTTCCTGATGTGAAAAATGAAAATGAGCCACCTGTTCCTCAGAGGGTTTTAGAAGCACCTTGCTGGATAATGGTGACTTTAATCCTCAGGATCATTCCAGTGCCCATGAGGCAATCCAGGATAAATTATTAGGTAGCATTGTTTACAAAGAGACCAGTGTCTGTTTAGTATCTTCTTAGGCGATGCAAATGAGTAAGAAGGAAATACATGGAGTCTGTTTTGGGGTAAAACTTGTACATCTCAGTCACATAGTTTGATGTTGCTATTTCATAGTTGATGACAAACATTGCTCTTTTAGGTTGCAAAGTTATGTTCAGTGATATATGCAAGTATTTCTTTAGTTTTTTGAATTTCAGAGTATATGTGGAACCTGTTAATTTCTGGACATGATTGATGACTGGAACAATTTAGGCAACCCTATTTCTGAGTTGGAAAGATTCATTGTATCTATCAAATCTGAATTGCAAAGCACAGGACTATAAAGTTTACTCTAAATTTTAAAATAATTTTATGTTTGATTTTTCTGGAAGATGTTTGAAAAACCATTGATCGTTTCTCTGTTAGAGAAATGTGATTTGATTAAAAAAATGTAATAGGAGGCTTTTTTTATATTTCACTTGCTATTGGGAGGGGAAGCACTAAATTCAGTATTTTCTTTCATATTTGTCCCAGAGTCTGCATGGTCTGACAGCAATAAATGTAAATGAAAGGTTCAGGGTGTCTGTTTTGCTATGACATGTAAAGACCACCTTGGGACTTACATCATTAGCATGACTTTGAGACATGAAACATGCATTTACTGACCACAACATTTGGTCACATTTGATTCTATGGCAGTTAGATCCTACTCATTCTGTAAGCTGGCCAACTTTAATTTCCTGGCCAGAGCTGACTATTGTTACCTTAGTAAGATTATATTTACCCTTTCTGTCTACTGCATGCTTTAGTGCTATGTATAGAATCAATGTGTTCAAATTGAAGGCATTGCTAGTAGAAATTTGAATGTTTTACTGACTCAAAATCTTTTTCTTTCAGTCTAGTTTAATTGACCTCAAAGAACATGCATCTTCATTAGCCTCTGCAGGACTGAAAAGGGATTCCAAATTAAAATCTCTAGAAATAGCCATTGAACAAAAGAAAGAGGAATGTAGCAAATTGGAAGCACAGTTAAAAAAGGTAAGTGAAGTCTAAGAAAAAAATCATGCTCATTTTAAAATGAATTTATAAAATGGAAAAGGAAGAGGCATTTTTAAAAAGAAACAAATCCCTTATCTATTGCTGTCTGCTGATTAAAAAAAATTAATTAAATACACTTAACTTTATTGCTAAGAAGTCTATCAAATCTGTCTGTGAACCTGAAAAATTATCTTAGGTTTCCTGTTTAAGAAAAACTTGAAAAGTAGATGAAAATAGTAGCAGAAGTTAAAAATATTATAAAAATCAGCCATTACTCTCTGAGCAAATCTCAACTATCAACAAAGAAAAATAGAAGTGTTTTCAACAAATCACAGAATCTAGAAGCCACATTAGATGTTCATAAACTTTTGCTACTTTCAGATGTAGGCCTTTTTGTAACTTTGCAAAAGCTTTTCTGACATCGTTAAATTTCTAGAAGTTCACCAAAATAGTCAAGTCCCTGGCATCTCTACAGAATGACTATTTATAATTGACTAAAATGGCCTTACTGTCTAGGAAAGCTTGTTGTAGATAGAAGGCTTTGGAAAAGAAATAGGATATTTACATGGCAGCATTAACATGTTTTCTCTGACCAGGACATTTTTGTGGAGTGCATTTCCAGTCATGCATTGTTCCTTTGACTTTCTTCCTGTGTTGTTTGGTACGTCTGCACTCATTGTTCACATAAAACTCATAACATTATGAGTTTAAGCATTTTGTTTCCCTTTGACAACTCATAAACTTAGTCAAAAGAGAAGATAAGAATCTAAACAGTCAAACAAAGCATATAATAAAATGTGACTATGTATAATTCATAGCACACTGGGATAGGGATTTATTGGCTAAAGTTATGAAAATATATGACATGGATGGTCAAGGATGTGAAGGAATCACATATCTGTGAAGGAATTACTCTGGATATCTTAAAATTTAATATACTATTTTGCGTGATGCAATATATAACTGAAATATTACTATATGGTGCTCACTTTATAGAGATTTTTAAGGAAATTATCATGAGAAATTTCACACTAAGAAAGTCTACTTGCTGATACAGGAAAAGATAAATACACAAATCCTTTAATAACAAAACAGCAAGAAAATCTCTACATTGCAAAATCTATTTCCCAATCTGCTCATCATCTCACTTATTTCAAACAATATTTAGTTAAGCAGAAATCTTGAACAATAAATGAAAGAATTAAAATGGCCCACTTGAGGGTGTTTAAATGGATATTGACTTGGCTCTTATGTATTGGGTATATGACATACATTGTTGACATACATAAATGTGATCTACAAAATGTTATCTATGATATGCATATTAAGAGATGAACTTATGAAAAATATTTTTTATTTAATAAAGTTTTGTGATCATAAAGCCGGCTGTAAGCTAGCTTTGTGAAAGAGAAATTCATTGGCTCCTATGACCACCCTCTACATGGTTTTACCTTAGTCACAGTGTGCTGAGTCCAGAAGAAAGATGGCTTCTAATAGACCTGGGCATGAAAGATGCCCTCCATCCACTCTGATGAGCTGTTATAGAAATCAGGGGACCCCATTTATTATTTCTGCAGGTACATGCTCAACACCCTCTTTTTAAATATAAGTCATCTATAGAAATTTGAAATCTAGTAATTAAAAGGAAGAGATTCGCATATTGATACTTACAGTTTTCATGTAACGACTTGACTAGTTTAATAAATCAACATTTATGCAATTCAATATAGTTTCTTTCAACATAGCTGTGGTCTGTCCCTGAGATCACTCAGAGTGTGTGGTTTCCTTTGACTCGCAGGTAGATACCACATATGGAAATTCACAGACCAAATCCTGTAAACATTTTAGCATTATTCCTGACAGCATTTTAACATTCTACCAAGTCACTAGACTTAAAGTAACAAATATGGTTGTCTTGCTGTAAATGACCTATTTAATTTGTCAAAAGATAACTTATTTCTAAGTGTATACATAATCTTCGCTTATACCCTATCTTCTACATGCATAGTGCAGTGGGTTTAAATAGGGTAATTATTATTTAAATATTTATGTCTAACCTACAGATGCTGTTTTGTTATTTTTGGCTGTCTAGCATTAACTAAATTCAAAAGTTTAAAATGTTTTTTTCAGTAGTCTTTAATTTCTGCTAATAAATAGTTCCGTAAAAACCTCAAATACCCATCACCTTAAAAAAATTGAGATCTACATGAAATATTTGAAAATATAAGCTAACAGTATGTGAATATACATATAAACACATCATTTACTCATGGAAAAATAAGCAGCTATAAAAGCTTAAGTGTGTCTGGGCCTCCTTTTAAATAAAAGGGTACGTGACTTGTGAATAAAATATAAAGGTTTACTAAATGAAAGCTGAAAACATAATAGTTTTATTATGTCATAAATACACCAAAAATTCCCAGTGGAATTTTGCTTAAGGTTTGTGAGTATCCAGGTATTTTTGCCATAAAATCTGTACAACATTGTAGATATGTGTAGTTGAACAGAAACCTTGTCTGCCAGTGGCAATGAAATCCAAACGGTGATTTAAACTTATTTTTGTCTTATAAACAATGCTTCACATTGGTAAAGGGAGTTTTTACATAAAAGTCTGTGGAGAACATTCACACACATAATTACTTTAACCCCTTATTATACTGTGTTAATTTAAGATGTCTTTAATACTTTGTGATGAAAGGTTATAGGCAGAAAAGGAACCAACTCCCTTATACATTACATCTCACCTTTTATAAATGTTCATATGTGAGGAAATTTTTACTGATATTAGTGAAGCTAATGAAATGATACTAACCAAATAATGCATAATTGCAAATTATGAGTATGCTTTATAATTAAGCGTATTTTGAGAAGAAACTGATAATTGACATGGATCATTTTGCCTTTCAATAGAATATTTGAAGTTCAAAATGGAGGGGAGTAAATTTACCTATGAAATCAATTGAGAAGCAATAACAATTCAAAATATTATGATTTACACTCTTTAGTAATTTCAATTAATATTATACTTGAGGAGTGCGTTTATTTAAACCGTGATAAATTGTCATTTACTTCATTCAAGTTGAAGGAAAAAGTAATTCAAGCTCCTAAAAATTGTGTCTTAGCTTAAAGCAAAGTAATAGTTTCTACAATATTTCCCCTTGTACACCTTGACATTGAGCCCCAGATTAATAGTGCAGGTATTTAGAAAATATAACTTTAGAGTGCTATTTATAGTAGTATTCATTACATTTAAATCTACAAACATTTAAATATTTAACGCAAAATAGACAAGAATATTATAGATTCTAAAGCACTTGAAACATAATAGAATATCCTTGAAAATTATATTTTCTACTAAGTCTGAGACAACAATAGAAACTGGTAATAGGCAATGGATGACGCTGTATTTTGGTCCTGCTGATTTAATTTTTTTCTTTTCCCTTTTAGTTTAAGTAAATCCGATAAAGCCTTAACTACTGATATTTTGCTGTTGCTAACCTGCTGTTTGCTAATCTGTATTTTTCTGAAGATAGACTGAGTAGAAAATTCAGGCTTGTGTTAATATAAAAGAAGAGCTATAAATTCAATGATAAGATTTAATTAATCTTTTATTATTACCATCTTTGAAGTTCAGGTAATAAATGGCAGACTTGGCTAAAAGTACTTCTTCTGATTCATTGCTGGAGGCCAGCACTTCATGTATCATCAAAAGTGGACAGCCTTCTTTATTTCATGGGTTATTTAACTTGAGAAAGGGAAAGTAACACAAACCTTAAATTTCTTATTCCAGCTATTCTTTTTTAGGAGCCAAAGTCAACATTTGTATTTCCCTAGAGCATCTCACTTTCACTGTGGAATGTTTAGAAACTGAAATTTCTTCTTTTTTAACAACTAACTCGTCTGTGCGAATGCACTGGATTTGTTGAGCTAATGCTGTTTTTCTGGATCTTTCCTTCTTTCCCTGTCTGTGCCTCAATGCCTCCCCAACTTTGCAATGTAGCAAGCTGAGCAGTTGTTCAATCAGATGTACAACCCAGTAAGTCATTTCTGAAAGTTCCCGCTGTAACATATCAAAGCATGAGGATCCATTGATCACCAGTCACGGTGTGCCATACTGGGGAGGTTTCGAAAATATTTATGAGTTTCTTCCCCTTTCTGTTCTGTCAAAAGAAATGATCTGTGCTGAGGCCACTGCCATTTCTTTTGAATGTGAAATTTAAAAATTAATAACTCAAGAAAATATTGCCAACTCTGATACTACCTCCTTCTTAACCTCAGTCCTAAGACTGTAGAAAAGCAAAAGTCAGCTGAAGATCTAGGCTTATGGAACTCTTCCTTAAATCCTTCAAACACAACTATACCTAGGCCAAAAGGGATAACAGCATTCGTAAAATAGCAAACAATTCAATGTCTGTTATTTAAGTGATAGAAGTTAAAACAGGTTTAGATTTAAAAATAGGGATATGCTCTTTGAGATTGGTAAATACCTAACATTACTGTGGATTTTGTAAGAGTTAACAACATGCCATTTGGCTGAGGACAAACCATAATATAGTCTCTTAATAACAGATAGTAACAATTCCGATTATAGCTTAATAGAGTACAAGAAAACAGGCAACTAGTAAAAATATTTATAAAACTATCCAGGTGCCACCATGAGTTTTTTTTATCCTAGTGACATGTGTGCCTTTATTAATATATGAAGCAGGTTTTTTTTTTTTTTAACTCATTAAAGAAGAAAAGCTTTTTTGTTCTGTGAACGCAAGTGGCTTACTGGGAAAATATTTCATAAAGGTGGCTAGAGTTTATCATTTGGCAGATGTGACCTGTGCTATCATGCATTCTAATCACCTCCTATGTCTAAATCCCCTTATGGAAAAAATGAATAACATGGATAAAGGAAACAGTTCCACCAACACCTTTTTATTTGTTAAGCCACTGCTTCAGGATACATACAACTTGATCTGCAAGATGTAGTGCATTTAGTTAGACTCAGCCTCCACTCTCCATTCTTTACAACACATTTTATTTTTGCAAAGAGAATTCCTAAAACCCTGCTGCAGCATCTTTGTTAACCTTTTTTTCAAAATGTGGATTTTAGCAGATAAGCAAAAAATAATCAGTTCAAGTTTCTTTTCCCTTAATATTTAAATAGAAGTGCTAATAAGCAGGCTGAAGACAGTGGAGATGTGAAGAAAGACAAATAAGATTGGAATATCTTCAAGCTCAAAAACTCACCTTGGGGAAAATGAGTGTTTCAAAAAAAAAAAAAAAAAAGTTTAAAAAATAAGTGAAGTAATTCCACTGCACTTGTTTTATACTTACTAGTTAGGAACAGGAAGAAAACCTAAGAATGTTATGTTTTGGGTATGTGCAGGACAGATGGGGAGAGCTTTGTTCCTGTAGGAGCAAAAATATATCAGGACCATGCTAGGAGTTCACTATCCCTGTAAGGATAGGTAGGACCAAAGAAATAACTCTGTTAGCTTTTAGACCATTTCTAGAAATATCAGTGACACGGCATCATCAACTTTTACTTTTCTTCACCCAGGGGTGCGTCTCTAATATGCCAGTGTGAACTTTTTTTTTTTTTTTGGAGATGGAGTTTCGCTCTTGTTACCCAGGCTGGAGTGCAATGGCGCGATCTCGGCTCACCGCAACCTCCGCCTCCCGGGTTCAGGCAATTCTCCTGCCTCAGCCTCCTGAGTAGCTGGGATTACAGGCACGCGCCACCATGCCCAGCTGATTTTATGTATTTTTAGTAGAGACGGGGTTTCACCATGTTGACCAGGATGGTCTCGATCTCTTGACCTCGTGATCCACCCGCCTCGGCCTCCCAAAGTGCTGGGATTACAGGCTTGAGCCACCGCGCCCGGCTGCCAGTGTGAACTTTTAAGTCCTTTTGGTGACTAATTCAAATGTCATTGACTGACTTTTTCTCCCCAAGTTAATTAAGCTAAGCCACTGGTCTGGCATCCCGGGAATATAGCCAAACTCTCATTATTCTAACTCCCCCTGTCTCAGTGTCCAGTTCTTTTTTGGACTGATAGGGATGCAGCATGATGGATTTTTTACCCTTAATTGTCTTTTAAAAATGACTGTGTTTTTCTTAGTCATAAAAATAATAAATGGTCACAGTAGAGAATTTGCAAACATGTGGAAGGCTACAGAGGAAAATTAAAAAATAACAGGACATCTCACCACAGACAGAAAGAATCACCAGGACATTTGGATTGTTCTCCACCTAGACATCTTTTTGTTGTTGCTGTTCTTTTCTCTTTTTCCTTTTCTTCTGTCCTCTCTCCTCTTGCCTTCTCCTTCTCTCTGTTGCTTCTTTTCTTCCCTCTCTCTTTTGTTCCTTTTTTTCCTTATCTAATACTCTACTTTTTACCAAATTGTGTCAAAGTGTTTATTTCGTTTTATGTTCTATTTTTTTTTACCTTATTAGAATTTTCCCATATAATGAACTATTCCCCCAAAATACTATTTTAATGGTTGCAAACTATTCTACTCTATTTGCTTATTCTCCCAATGTTGGCATTTTTTAACTTAAAACTAGGTTTCACTATGTTGCTCAGGCTGGTCTCAAACTCCTGGCCTCAAGGGATCCTCCTGCCCCAGCCTCTGGAGTTGCTCAGTCTACAAACATATGCCACTGTGCCTGCCTCCTTCCTGGGCCAGTGATTTGTAAAGATCCCAATAGTTCCTACTATGTTGTGTTTCGGAGGAATTCCAGCGAAGCACGCTTCTTTTGGCCCTGATTAAAGATGGCTTTTCTGCCGCACCCTGGCCAACACAGAATTGTCATTTTACATAAAACTTTGACAAATGCTTAGGTGGAAAATTTTTTCCCTTTTAACTTTTCCTTCTTTAATTACTACTGAAGTTGAGGTTTTTCAGTACATTTATTAGCCTTTTATACATTGTCTTACGTAAATTGTTTGAATCAGTTGAACGCTTGCTTTTGAGTTTACTGTTTTGTTCATTGGTTTTATATGAGTTATTCTGTGTTTTATATAGAATTTTTACCCGGTTTGTGGCAGTTTTATTTAGCTTAAATTTTTTATGTATATGGAGAATAGTTTTTAGGTTCTTGACCTGTACTTTTCTTTAGGCTTTCCTCACTGACTTTATTCTGGGAAATGTTCTCTGATTTCAATTAACTATATTTAAAATATTTTAATTTGTTTATATCAAGTTAAGTCCTTTATCCATCTTTAGTTTATTTTGATTCATGTTGAGAGGTGAGATTCTAACTATATTTTTCTAAATTATCAACTAATTATCCAGCACCATTTATCAAACAATTCTATCTTTATCCACTGATCTTGATACGATTTTATTGCATATGAAATTCTCATTTAGGTGAGTATCTTAGTTTCTAAGCATATGTTCAGCTTTATCGGTATCTCTAATTTGTTGGATCAAAATTTTAATTATTGTAGCTTTATGCTATTTTTAAATACCTAGTAAAATGAATTACACCTTCTTTCTGCTTTTCATTTTGTCTTGTTTTGTTTTAAATTTTTAGCCTTTAATTTTCCATCAGTCCAAGTAAACTTTAGGATCACTTTGTCAATTAAAAAGCAAAATTATTGATTTTAATTTTAATTATATTCAATCTGTAAGATAATTTTAGAATTTTGATATGTTCCCAATATTATTTCTTTCCATTCGTGAACATGATCCAACTTTTATTTATTCCAGTGGTTTTTGTACAGCAAAGTTGTAAATTTTCCTGATACAGGTCCATGGTATTTTTTCTTAAAGATAGTCTTAAGTATCTCTATATATGTAATTTTTAGGTTGCTATGGTGAATAATATATTTATTATTTATTTTCTAATCAGTTATTGATAGCTAGGAAATTTCTTTTATTCTTGTATGTTTATTTTCTATATGACCACCTAACAAATTTTTGGTGAACTATACTATAGTTGTTTTTTGTTAAATAAGATAATTTTATTGTCAATTTTATGTCCGACAGTCTACACTACATCAGAGTGAACACAGATTAAGCTTTTAAGTGCTCCTGCAAGTATTTTTATTTCTAGAGTAGAAAGGAACTTTTTACTTTTTATCTCCTTTTACTTTAGTCACTCTGTTGAAAAAAGGGTTGTCTAATGACATTTCTTAGAAGCTAAAATTTTGCCTTCATATCATTATTTTTCTTATAACCATTCTGTAGCTTAACTATCATTCTACTCCTGGAGTTTTGTCTTCTTGTTATAAATACTGTGCAGGTTATCTTCAGTTGGGTCCTCTGCCTCCCCTTGGTTCTTAATTCTAAACAAATAATGTATGTGTTTCATCAGTCTCAAATACCTTCTTTGCTGTAGCCCTTGTGGTTATTGTATGCAGGGATGGTATCAGGAGTCTTTCAAAAATTTTTAATAAATCTCTAGACCTTCTGAGTCTCTCAGTTTAGTGCTTCATCTAATACCCTTGTTGCTACGAGACAAATGACTGATTTGGAGGCTCTGGGTGCAATCTTGCGATTGGTCAGAGCACATTTGAGACCCCTCTGATGTTCCCCACACTTGTGACCCCTCAGTCCAGTAGTTATCCATTTGAAATTCTATCTTTTCTGAACACAGGTTTTGCAGGGCTCACATTTTACATAAGTGTTAAAAAAAAAAAAAAAAAAAAAAAAAAAAAAAAAAAAAAAAAAAACAAAAACAGAACAAAAGCCAAAAGGCAGCCTTTTTTCATTCCAGAGAGAGAGAAAAAAATCTTGTTAATGTTCAATGAGGTCTTCCTGATTTGTAGGTCATAACAGGACTGGACAGTCCCAGGAACATAATGGGCTGAATTATAAACGCTTAAACAGTCATTGTTTGGATATAGCAGTTTCTTTTTATTATTTTCAAAAGTATTTGATTCACTGTTAAACCAGCATCTCCCAGCACAGAGGAAAGTTACCACTATTTAAGAGATAATTCCAGGTATGCATACAGCATGTGTAAACACATGCAAACACACGTCCTATAATTGATTCAGGCTTTCAGTGTCTAAAAAACTCAAGTATTATTTGTAA